ATGAGCTAAAGCGTACAAGAACAGAATTAACCTACTCTTGGTGATTCCAACTGTCAAGGGATCTCTAACGTGCACAGTATATAAAGCATTCAGGACAAAGATTTAAACATTTTGACATTAATCTTTATTTGGCTTGATCATACATGAATATCTACCTGATGATATCGACGAAACTTTTTAGGAGGACCTCATTTTCTCAATGCAAACTCTTATACCTTGACTGTAATAACCACCTTTCTTGTATCATGTAAGTTTGTTAAAGTAACGATTTGATTGGATTGTACCCTAACAAATACAGCCATTCGGGGCCCTCCACAGAAAGTCTGTAAACAACAAACCATTATGTTTACAGTCTGTCCATTCAAATTGCTGATACAAATAAGGTAGCTTTTGCAGTCAAGGTCTGAGACTACGTTCGCAATAGCTTTACCATTTTTAAGATGGTTCTTAACCTAAGTTACTATCCTTGAATATTTTAGGACAATAGGTTTACATGAAAAAGATTAGGAGACTGCGTGATATTTCCCATTTAGAATCGTATATATATAACGGATAGCATTAATTACCTTTAAGTGTTTTGTTTTATAATAACGAGCAAATGGCAAGAAACTTAAATTACTGTGTATCACGATTTCGAGTATACTTAACGCGAATCTGGAAAAACAACTGGTTGATGATTTAGATCAATTTTGGAAACCCAAACGTGTGATTAACGGAATCTGGAAAAATTACTTGTCATTTTCAAGTTTTTCAGTTTCGATATAGAAATGAGTGCGTTTTATGCATCTGCACTTTTAAATTGTCCCTCATTGCACACTTATTGCCCCAAAAATTGGAACAAGATAGACTGCTTGACCTAACAGTAACATACATACAAAGAAAATCATTCATTGCAACTATAAGCAAGTGAAAAAGCGAAATTTCCCGAATGATGTCCATCTTAAGGGAAATAACTCGTCCCTATTTTTTGTGTTCTGTCCCAAAAGAGTGGGTTAATGCAACTCATTGCACATAAAAGATACAAAGACTATGTCACTTAACCCATTTCTAAATCAGAATCGGTCACGTACATACTCAAATAATATCCTTCAGTTCCATTAATGACTGAAATATATTGAATGTAGTTCAAGATAAGGGAAATAACTCGTACTTAATTTTTAACATGTTTACTTCTAAAGTAGGTCATAAGAGATTGCCATTTTAATGAAGTTTTGTGCTCGAGTATAAGCAAAATAAAGATGGACAATGTCATCAGTGTACAATGAGGGAATGTTTCTACCATAACATTGAGACAAATGAAGTGCATTGGGTGTGATGGCCATACGACTGCCAAAAATATGTGTATCCCTTAAAAAGAGTGGGCGAATGCAGCTGGAAAAATTCTCAAGACAAACTTAACAACAAAAACCGTGTGACTAACCCGGTTTTAAAATCAGTACCAGTAACGTACATACTCAGGAAAGATGGTTTATAACCATGTGCCAGTGCCGTTTATTGAATAGTAAATTGTTATTTTCAATCATCCTAATCATTGAAACGCAAAATTTCTCATCCGGTGTTCACCATAAGGGAAATAACTCGTACTTAAATTTTATCATGTTTACTTCTAAAGTAGGTCATTGGATGTTTTTCACTTTAATCGAATTGAAATATAGTTTTGGGTACTGAAGACGGTCAAAGCCATCAGTGTGGAATGAGGAAAATTTTGCCGCGAGTATGAAATGTGGATATACGAATATCCAAGGATCTTCAAAGTGCACAGCCTGTAGAACGGAGGGCCTCGCTGTCTCATCCCAATGACATGTCCTGCCCAACCACCTCCTGCCATTCCGATCAGGAATATGGAATAGCAAAAATCGATCCGTTTTTATAAAATCTTTTAGAAGTCTTTTTCTGGCGATTAATGAAACGAAATCCAATTGTATCGACTATATTAGATTAGGATCGATGGTCTTAAATCATAGTGAACTTTTTCTCGTTTGATCTTTGTGGCCTTTGACAAGAAAATATTGTCACCGAGAAACAAATATACATGCCAACTCGTTGATTTATGTGCGTTATTGACTTACCTGACGAGACAAATTTTCATACTGTCATGCTCTTACGAACATCACCTTATACCTTGACTCCAATAGCCACTATACTTGTATCATAGAAGATTTGATTTAAACAATCGGTACCCTCGTTTAAACACAGAGCCAAATTGTTTACATTATTTCTATTGAGGTTTCTGAAAATTTTGAAAATTGCCATAGGCCCTACACTTAGTATGAATGCTTCCAATAGAAGCACAGAACATAAAATTCCATTTCATTGTTCCCATTTCTATGCTGTTTAAAAGATAAGGAGTATACCAAACGATTTTCTCATAATGGGCTAGTATAAAACCCCAACCGACAACCGCACCAACAATCAGTAAAATATGACCCAAAAACTTTCAACCAACGGAATAAGCTTTTAAATTTTGAGGAATGTTCGATGACGTCGTTATTAATTATATTTTATTACAAAACCAATCAGTTTCATATCGTTTTTTGAATAGAAGAGATATCCATAATATTGACGTCGACGTCATTCTTCTGTTTTTCGCGCCATATTTCACTTCCGGTCGCCCGGTTGCAATTTTATAAACCCTGAATTAACAATATAGGTTATAATTCAGATGTAGACCTCAATGCTCCACTTCCTGATTTCGGTATCTCTACTTTTTATTCCGATTATAGTAACGCCGATCGAAATATTACAGATTGACACTTAAGTGACGTATTCTTTGTATAACTTTGACAAGCTGGCAGACAATGCTTTAGTCCTTAATGATATTGCTCTGTTTTCTCTTCACTCGTTTCTTGCAATGTCAATCAAAGACTACAAGCTAAGTTTTCTTAATACAATTTTTTCACGAACCCATTTAAAAGACATCGATTTATTCCTTTCCGATTTCGAAAGATTTTTCTTCCTCCGTTGCTTGCAATGCCAATCAAATTTCAAAATGACGTATCCTTATTCGTAATTTCGTATTTTTTAAGGATTAAAGGGATTGTAAAAAGGTTTCCTAAATTTGTGTGTATCGGGGTCACTGATAACATACATTTGCACCATTTCAATTTTCAGTCAGAGGTGTATGGTTTGATGACATCACTAATCGCAATATATGCGTTAATGACATAAGCCTTCGCGTTAAGTGACGTCATCAAACATTTAGTTTTAGTGGATTGTAGGAATCATAGATGTCTGATTAAGAATTGGAATGGTGCAAATTGATGCTATGAGTGTCCTCGATACACATAAAAAGAAAAAATTTACATTCCGTTTAAAAGCATCAATGGCTATTCTTAGTTTCATTTTTTTTCTTAGATTAAGTGGTTTGTTTACAATCTTGTTATCAGTCCTTTCTTGACATCCAAAGATTTAAAAGGAGACAGATACGTGTCTGATACCCGAGAAAAACACATTGTTAGTTAAGAGAATATATAGACATTTATTTAGTTCTGAATTACCGGATCAAAGTAGCAATTCATACCAATAGGTTCTTGTCTAAATTTAAAGTGCTTAGCTATGATGTAACGATTCATTTTTCACCAACAGTGGCACTTTTCATTTATGATGTCGAGGACTCAGTGAAATCGATTCATTTTTACCCAAATGTAAATTAAGACATAATTAAACCAATATGTTTTGGCGCGATTTTTGCATTTATAAATATTCCGCAGATAAGGAACTAGAACAAATGAAAATAATGCTAACTGTAGACAAATAATGAATGATTCTAGTTACCTAATCGTACGATGAGATATCTATTTATGGATATGGTTACAATAAAGCCAAACCCGTTGTAGGTATGTTACTTGGGGCCCTGGGTCCGCCGGTAAAGTGTTGACTATCTAATGATTTGGGGTTAAAATGATTGCATACGAAACTACGTATGGTTCTTACATTTATATAATACACACGAACGTAGTTCACCACCATTTTGAATATACTCCTCGACACAATATGTCGAACTTTTAAAACGACTTTGATATTTCAACAAAGCCGTGACATCACAATTAAAGCCATTTCTAAACCGTCTAAATATGATTTGAAGGCTTTTGTTTTTTAAAATTCGACTTATTATGTTGAAATGATGTGATTCAAAATGGTTGTGAAGTACGTTCGTGTATTATTTCAATGTGCTAACTGTGCGTTGTTTCGTATGATATGATTACTGACAATTCCTGTTTAAGTATAAATTTCTATAATATCATATTCGCATCCTTTCGATATTTATCACTGTTTTACTATCATTTTTAATGTATTGCTTTCAATTATTTAGAATAAGGTTTTTATGGTTTTGTGTTGATTGAATTAGTACGACACTTCATGGTTTTCAGTTGAAAAATTTGACATGATATTCGAGAATAGGAACGTTTTTCAAAGCTAACCACCGTTACCATGGTAACTTTCCGATGTGGGGATGTAGTCTGCGATATCAGCATTTGCTGGAAGAGGACGTTAACGTATCATCTATCAACCCACCTTAAGCTGGGATGAAACCTGGACATAAACGATCAATCTGGCTGAGCTAACGCGATCATCCCTACGTAAGAATGCTATAAGCTCTTAGCAGCAATAATCGCTTTAAAATCAATTCTATGGAAATAATCAATCTGTTTATCACTCTACCTTAGTATCATAGAGGCAGTCATAGCCACTATAAAATCAATCAAATCTTTACCTTATCTGTTTCTTTTCTTTCAACAGAGCCAACAACTTTAAATGTTTACAATATAAACGATTGTTTCTTAGAAGAAGGCTGGCACTGATATTGTATACAACCTTCGTGATGAAGTCTCAACTTCGTGAAGTGCAACAGATATGGTTTACAAATCTCATGCTTGTTTCCAATGTTATTCATCAGGAATAGATGTAAACGTATAGTTTGGTTTACGGAAGAATTTAACAGTGTTTGGTTGTGTGATTCTATAATTCACTTCAGACAGACGCCAAGAGTTGAAAACAAGATGAACTTATTACGTGATATTGAAGGGGCTACTTTTGCCTTTAAAAGCTTAATACTGTTGGGTAAGTCTTGATTAATGTTTTTTTAACAGATGCCTGCTTAAATTATTTTGCAATTTAAGCTTAATGTTTTCACTCCTTTGTGGTAGTCCCGTTCATATGAATTTACACTTTTTGGAGAGAATTCTATGGAACAGGATTGTTTTCCTTACTATTCAAGTAATTTTTTGTATTTGCGGTTTGCTGGACAATTTACGTATTGTGCTTTGTAATTTTGATGAACTACGGCGCTTTTGCCCTGTTGAACTATTGCTACCCTTAAAGCCTTGTGGGCATTTGTTTGCTTTAATGGTTGGCCCTCATTGATATTTTGTATCCTTTTGTGGTTTATTTGGGCACCTTCATAACATTTCATAAGTTTTGACTTATGCTTTGTGGACTTGATGGGTATTTGTTTGCTTTAATGGTTGACCCTCATTGATATTTTGTATTATTTTGTGGTTTATTTTGGCATCTTCATAACCTTTTATGATTATTGCCTTCTGCTTTGCGGTTGCGGTCAGCAAAATGTTGGTTTTCTCATGCCATGGAGAACATTTCAATCGAAGATTGAACATTGTTTCTAATGATCAACGAGACAGGGCATTTATCTTGGATTCCTTTGAGGATTATTCTGTACCAGGGTTAAAGGATAACCTATCAATTATACTTAGATATCTGCTGGACTTCATACGGACGTTTTGATAATTCCTAGATCATTTCCCGCGGAATTAAGGGATTCTGAAGAGACGGTCATGCAGTTTAGACGGAATTGAAAAGGGATTTTTGACTTTGGTATGTGTACTGGAGATCCTTTTTGCTTTTTTATTGAATGGAGATTTTGTATTTTCAGAAAATCATAGTTTCCAGTAATTTCTAAATTGACCAAATTATGACGTCATAATCACAAATACCATTTGACTCAAATGATTCCGGACATTCTTATAGCATCCATTTACAACATTCTAATTTTTCATTCAACGTCCGTGGTTCCAGAAACTGATTGAATTATGATGTCACTATCGCAAAAACCAATTGACTTAAGTGATATCGGACACACTTATAGCTTCCATTTACACCATTCTGATTTTCATTCATTTAGAAGATAGAAAACGAACATCGTCAAACAAATTGTACGGAGAAAGTGTTACTTTCCAATCAAGTAATCAAGCAATCAAACCCGGTGGTCAATTACGTGCGACTGGAATCACAAGTCTACGTGTTGATTATCTTCCAGTATCCTTTGATATTAGATTAATAATAATTAATAATTTCCTTTTATTACCTGGACATTGGGTAATATAATAGAAAAGCCATTCAACAGAATTTCAATTACATGTCTGGTCTTGTATGGAAGACCTTCTGTGCAAAAAAGTGGACACTTTTACTGCTCGACCGACTCAATAAGAAATCAACAGGGATTGATGCGCCAATTTTACCAATCGTACCGCAGTCTCAGAAACTAGAATTTTTTTTAGCTAAGCCAATTTATTTTCGTACATTTCTAGTACTTCTGAAGACTATCTACATATGTTCAAGACTCAAATCGACCCACCAAAATGTCCCTTTTAGTATAGTCTAGTTCTGTATGGGAGGCCTCCTGTTCGAAAACTGGACATTTAAACTGCTAATTCGAAACAAGAGGAAGTCCAACTATGAACATGTGAACAACCCTACAAAGATGGTTGAGGACATTGTGGACGATTTGAAACATCTAAAGCAGTCGATTTTGTTCGATTAACGTCACAGTTTCGCACATGATATCTTCCAATATTTTGCCATTTTTTATATGTATTTGCGTGAGGCAGTGTTTGTCAATTTAATTTTTATTTATATTTTGCACTATTCTTATATGATTCGGGAATGACCAGGCAGGCTGTTTATCTGATCATTGGTCTTAGCTGTTACCGTCTAGAACAGTGATTCCCAACCTTTTGCAGCCTTCACACCCCTGGAGCAATCACCTGGACCTTTCACATCCCCAAAAATTTGTTTCATCCACATTTTCAGCATGTGTTGATGTGAGGTGCTCTCTCAATTCAAAATAAATTCTTCTCCTACACCAGTCGGCCACATCCCTGACACCCTAGTCCCACACCCCCAATAGGTGAAAACACCCCAGGATGAGAACAGGGGGTCTAGAATATAACTAGCAGTTTCGGATTATGTAAAATAATTTTATAACATCCTTATGTTTTCTTGAGTGTTTACACAATGTTATGAAGCAGATGTTCCTTGAATAATTACCAAGTCTTCTAATCTAACTATATACACAAAAATAGCGATTGATACGTGAGAGTTAACATTATGATAGATTTTTTTATCTTCCCGATTGGATTAACCCCAAAACTAACTGGCAGAATCTGAGAGCAGTTTAATTAAAATTAGACTAAACTTTCGTCCCGTTTTTATTGTTTTTATTAGCTTTTACTTTTTAATATAGCCACTTCAGTTAGGATCTAATGACAGCCTTCTTGAACGTTCGTCAAATTAACCTTTTAACCTAGCCTGACAAACACCCCGTCACAAAACGCCGGCTCAAGAAAGAGTAGAAATTTGATTGGTTGAAGCAGACGTAATCGAGTTAGGTCAAAAGGTTAATTTGACGAACGTTGACTGTCGTTAGACCCTAACTGAAGTGGCTATGTTGAAATTAAAAGCTAATAACAAAAAAGTGTGGTCATATTTTAACCGGACTTGATCTTACACTATCGCTAAAAGTTTTCCGGGAAAAGCTAATCGGTTGTTGATTGAATTTATTCGCATCATCCCAAATTTCAATCACACGTCTGTGGGTCTCTCAATTCCATTAAAACTAAGCTTTTTTTAGGGCGTCACTATTGTAATGGAATGATGCAAATAGAAGACATAAATGGTCCGGATACACGTAAAAGAAAAAAGCTTGAGAAACACGTTACAACACCTTTAATTTTTACATCAGATCCTTAGCGTTTACGATTTATCTAGATTATCCAATTCCCAAGATTAAATACTCAGACAAATGTTAACTGGTCTTGAGTCTTTTTCTCAAATAGTTAACATTTCAGACAATGATATAGCCTGGAATCAAACAGACCGCTACCATAGGGATTCGATAACGAGACACTTTGAGAAACTTCTACATTATCTACACAAATTATATACCATATTTATTAAAACTAAGAATATAGGTAAACGAATTCATATCCCTTTGATAATGCTGTAAGACGAAGTTACATAAAATCAGGAATTATAACTAAAGTCACATCAACACTTGCACGAATTCTGTTTGCGCAATGACACGTACTTCGGCATGCCCATGATTTGAATCTGTGTGTACATGTGTCATTTCGTACAGAAAATATTAAAATTTTAAAAAATCTGGGACGCATAAATTGTAGTACCTTGTGCGAATGTGCATGCCACTTACGTGAACCATGCGGAACACTACAGAAACTCTGCTTGAACAATGCGAAGCAATATTTATCCTATACATAAATTGCGTGTCAATGCGTTCAATTTTTTTGGTGTATATACAGTGCGTTACTTTTGCATGTACAGTTTGCAAACGCAGTGAAGCGCCGAAACGACACGCCTTGCAACGACCAAATCGTCCCGGGTGGATTCTGGTAAAATTTAAGAGTCAGTTTTGTGTTTTAGTTAATCGCATTGGAGTGGGTTGGCTAATCCATGATTACTTTATTTTTAAAAAAAATCAATTTTCAAAATAATTCAATAAATGCAAAATCACGTAAAATCATGTCGGTTTTACAATGTTGTGGGAGAGAAGATTAAATGTCATTTTGCTTCAAATGTTATCCTTTTAACATCATGATTGACCGAAATACAACACTTGAAACCAGAAGAAAAACCTTTGAGTAAAATGAGAGAATTTTAATGAACTCTTAAGAACGAATCAAAATTTGAAAAATAATATATTGCAAAGAAGTCGTTAGCATTTAGTAACCTTGGACATTGCACGCTATAATAAACAACTGAAAACAGAATTGATAGAGAAAATAAAGACTGTAGAACGCAATATTTGAAATTTGCCAGGATAGCGGCATTTACTTACACTTTTTCGATTTCCAAGTGTTGAGGGATCTTTAACGTGCACAGACTGTAGTACTGCATTTTGACATTTAGAAATTATAATACAATTAAATGCGATCAAAGATCCTTCGACATTTGAAACATAGCATAAAAATACAGGGATGAAATCTTTGACTAGCGTAACCAATAGCTCACGAAGTTTCAGGTCATTGTTTTTTTCTGAATAGCAAAATGCCTTTCGAAAACCATCCACGCAACCTTCATCACCTACAGTAAGAATCTGTGTTTTAGAAATAGCAATTGGGTCTAGCTGTACAGTCACTATCACAATACCCCCAAACGACCAAACTGCAGGAATTGTCTTGCGTTGCCGTTTATGTATTATGTGGTTAAAGAAATAATACCTCTTAGAATGGACATAAAATTTAAATTCTCAAACTTAGTCAATAAGAGTATATATTCATCAGTTGGACTTACCAGAAGCCGTGACTAAGGAATAGAATCTCTATATACAACGATATATATCCATTAATCTAAATAATTATTGAAAAACGCTTCTAAGCGGGTTTCAAAAGTAGTATACCTTTAAGACGAAGTGGGCGGAGAGAGCAAAGTGGGTCGTTTCTAAATTTCTTTTCACTTTGGTTTTTATAATATAATAATATGAAAAATAGCTACGGAATGCAAGAACATTTTACAAGCTAGATAATTGCCTTCCGATTTGACGTCAATAGAAAAAATAAATCACGAATTTGAAAATTTCAAATGAAATATCTTCTTGGTTATTATATTAAAAAAAAAACAAATTGAAATTTTAGATGCTCAATATTTATGTTGCGTTTAGAATTTTTTTTTTTCACAATCGACATTGTCTAAAAATACAAACCAATTTAAGATATCTCATTTATGGTTATTTGTTGGTTTGTAAATTCAGGCAAAAACAAATACAAATTAAATTGAAAAAGCAGATTTGCACAAACGTAGGAAAAATATAACATCATTATTGTTGAGTCAAAGGACTATTGGATAAAGTAACACATGACCACACGGTCATCAAATGGGCTGGCGCTGGCCCAACTACCATAGGAACTGGTTGAACCAAATCCACGGGCCCCCAGATATATATATATATATATATTGACACAATATAAAATGGTTCAAAATTTATCCCGGGGCCCTATATGTGTTCTTTTAAAAACAAAATACCGGAAGAGGGTCCCCAACCCATATAGGGTCCACAAGTCTCCACCCATTTAGCTGAGCCATTGCGCTTCAAAAGAATATTACATGGGTCGTTGATTGAATGATAACGGGTGGCTGTTCGTACAATTTTGACTGTAGTTTTACAACCAAGTTTCCATTTTTTAATTGGGCTAACACAGACAGTTACATGCAGCTTATTTTAAGGAGAGCTCAGGTCGGCTGGTGATCGCACCGGAATCTCTTCAGGTCGACAATTGCCAATTTAAAGCATAGCACCGGATGTGCCGCAGTCGACGTGAGATAAACAATCATATCGACCAAATTGGTCGACTAGAAGCAACTGTGATCATCTGGTTGGTTGGAGATCTCCACTGCTCAAATCGACGACAAGATCCAGTTTGGAAACCAAGGCTACGGGGACAACGTCAATTTTCAGTTGTCAGGTCGACTCAATCTAGCCATTGTTCAGACACGCCATCAAGTTGAGATTCCAGTTGCAAGTTTCATCTGAATCCTGCCTTTACAGAGACTAAACAGTGCTTATTTGCCCGGTATTTTTTGGAATCTGATGATTATGTATTTGTCCTTTCAGCGCTTCTGGATGTTGTGAACAGCAATTGTCCTAATAATGCCATAGAACAGATGCACGCCTGTACAGCGAAATTGGCTAACATGACTTCGAAAGCTGGGGAAAACATCAAAACGGTGGAACAGTCCTGTAGGTAAGAAATGTAAATGGAGTTGATTCCATACAGTTTTTCTCTCCATCAAGCACCAATGCAATTGGTTAGGTATAGGTGCCGTGGAAGAAATATAGAAGAAAATTCAAGACACTTAGGTACGGGTTATTGGGATGAAAAGTTAATTTGAAAATACTATATGGCTTCAATAGAATAATACGTCAAGCTCTAGTGCCCAAGACATTGCTCATCAGCTCAGTTAAAAATAGCAAACATCAATGATGTCGGTACATACCATTATTACTTTTGTGGACCCTTCCAAAGTGATACCACAATGACAAATTTGTACCACTTATTCCTAATAATGCTCTTGCCGTGTAGAACAAAAAAATGATATGGTCATTAATTGGAATATTCGAAGGATTATTCTCACCAATGGAATAACCAAAAATTCATTCGCAATACATAATATGTCAGTTGTCTGAAAATCAAGCGTGGAATTCTGAATAACAACATGTTTCAGGTTCTGTTTTGATATTTATATCTCTATAATTCAGAAATTTAATGGAAGTGCCTCTTTGCCTGGAATCTATCCTGTATAAATGTCAAGGTCACAGCGAGTTCCAGTCCATAGATCGTTTAAAACAAATCACAAACCAATGGAAATCCAAGTTTCACATAATTTGTAAGTATGAATTATTGCACTGCTCTGCCAAGATCAAATTTAAGGCAAACCTGTGCAATTGCTGGCAATTGAAATTTTTCCTTCGTTAAGTGACTTATCTAATCTTCTCGCTGCTACCAGTTGCTTAGAACCTTAAAAATCCGGTTGCCCACAGATTTTAAAAGTATGAATTATTTTCCGATCCAATTTTAGAAGAACATTTTCCGGTCGACGTTGCTCTCTGGTCGTGGCAAGGTCGACCAAAGACACTGTGAGATTCTTATAGTTTCTGAACCTGTATCACATCAAACACTGAACTTCAAATTCTGACAACTTCAATGAGAGTCAGACGTATTCTTGAAAAGTCAAGTGGTAATCTTGAACGTCAAGTAGATGACCTTTGACGCGGACACACAGACAGAAATCTCGAAAACAAGTCTTTAACTAAAAGGCTATTCGCAGTTGCGGTAAAGCAAATCATCTTTAATGGGTTTGTAAATAGTTTGTAGTTTTTCTATTTTGTGGACGTATATGGTTTTTTTTTTGCATCATTCTTATTTCCCTCAGATGTCATTATAGAAATACTTATTAGGGACAGGTAGAGGGTTGGTATGAGTCTTGAAAATATGTAAATAGTCTTCAGAAGTACTAGAAATGTACGAGAATCGAACAATTCCTTTAAAAATACTTCAAACTAGGAATTTTACTCACTATTTTGATATATGTCTTTTCTATATATCACAGATTATCTTAAATTAACGAGTCATCATTTTAACATTCAAACGCAGTTAATTCTGGACACACATGGATTCGAAGGCTCAAATTTCGACGGCGAGCTGTGAAAACTATTACGGATTAGTTAATCTAAAAAAGTCCAGTTTCTGAGACTAAAGTATGATTGATCAAAAAGAATGGCGTATCTGTTCCTTTAACCTATATGCAGTGTAGAGTAAAGTCAATCTGTCAATGACAACTACCATGTTTCTGACTAGTTTGTCAGATTAAGTTTCGGGTTTCCGCTTCGGCATTTTGTTGCTATCATTATGTCAACTCGTCTGACTTGAAGAGATCTAATCATACCAGAAGATTGTCTCAGTATGGCTAAGATGATTAAAGCGACAGTTGAGTTGTAGACAAAGACTTCATCAGATTTAACATTACTTTTATTGATACCTGTGGGAAGCTGAAATGTAAATGTTCCGTAAAAGGCTAGCATATTTTCATAATACCATTTACTTAGGTGTGTTGCTCTAGGACATACAGTCGCTCGGGGGACAAGCTGTTGCTCGAGCGGTTGAGACGTTGGTATCATGACGTCAATTGCTGTTTAACGATTAACAAAGGGTGGTTGTGCGTTCTCATCTGATGCTTGTGCAAATCTGATGCCTTGAACAAGTCATCTTTCCTGAATACTGTTATCAACTCACTGATAAACTGAGGAAAATTCATAATAAGCGATTAACCCAAGGATCAACTAGTAGACAGGATCCTCAAGAATTTCAGTTTGTTGCTTATATCCTTTGAGTGCACTTTTCATGTTATGTAAGATGTTTTCGCCTATAATCCTTATAGTAATAGAAATGCTAAATTTGTTATGTTTTCTTTAATATTTTCAATAAGAAATGGGATTAAATCGATCAAATGAAGTTGTAAAATTGTAGCTTGCGTGATCTAGTTGATCAACAATAGATAATCCCTGTCATAATCTAGATGGTGAAGTTTGTTATTTTCTGACTTTTAATGACAAAACCTTCTCAATAAGAATTTGGTTTGTTTTTTTGGTTAAAAGTAAAAGGATTACATAACTGTACAATTTCTACGATTCATGAAAGAAAGAGACAACCACCTTAAAGACGGGTTACCTTATTTTTATTTATGAAAATGAAAATGCTAATACTTATATGAATAGAAAGTAGAGGTGTTCTTATGACTTGGAAAAATACCAGCTTGTCTCACATACCCATAATTAATTCATAATTAGCTAAATTAGAAGAGAATTACCAGTAGGATTCCAATGAGTGACCGATCAAGAAAGGTCAAAAAGTCTTTTTGGTTAATTTAGACTTTTAATACATGAAAATTAAAGATTGGTAAAAACTCTTAATTATATGCAATAAGAACATAATGATATGATTAAGAATACCTGATAATTCATTAAAAACACATATTAATCAAATAGTTTGCTTAATTTGACACTAACATAATAAGGAAATCCATCTTTAAGTTTCATAACTTATACCATCTCATCTTAATCTTTCCGGATTATCTGTACCCATTGACAGTTGGTTCTACTGGACTAATGGTAAGAAGAATAAGGTCACCAGATTTTACACGCCGACCGAGAATGACGTGCAAGGCTTAAAACTATTTCGCGTGTTAATTTGTTATGCTTGGCCAAATTAATGGAAACGAAATAACCACAAATATAACAAAGAGCACGGAACTCCTAAAAAAATCTTTGGACAAATTTGATTTTGGAATTTAAGATGCTCTCACACAAAAAGCGATTACCAGTTGCTATTGCTGCGAATAAATAGAGTGGATACGAGTTCCGAACACAACTCGGTTGCATGGGGGTTGCGTTCGAAATATATAACCGCTTTATGGCAGAAAACTGGTAGAAGAAATGCGTAGATGTCAACCCCTCCCCCCCCCTTTCTGGTTCCAATACATGACACGACTGTGGAATAGATAGGTTTATACGACAATATGCCAAAAAACCCTACAATAGACATTCGACAAGTAAAATTTAATAATTTAATGCATGTATATTCGTGCTAGAAGGCATATCACAAAACTTGAATGCTTCAAGAGCTCAACGAGAATATGTACTGAGACAAAAGAAACATCTCTTGTCCTTCATTAAAGGGATTGTAAAGACGTTTTCTAAATTTCGTATGTGTTATCGGGAACATTGAAACCACAATTTGCATCATTTCAGTTTTCTATCTGACATCCGTGGTTTCTGTAATTCCACTAATAGTGAGAGTTTATGGCGTCACGAAGTCCTTATGTGATAAAGCATATTTTGTGATTAGCGACATTATCAAACATTGAATTTTAGTAGAATACAGGAAGCACAGACATCTGATTGAAAATTGGAATGGTGCTAAATGATGCTATCAGTTTTCATAAAACACATAAATTCATGTGAAAATCCCTTTAAAACTTAATAAGACTATTGCGTTCTTGAAATAACTTCAAAACGTGAAGTCAAAGAAAATGACATTTCTTAGAAAGTAAAGTCACGACGCGATGACAGAAACGACATTTAGAAAGTACAGCGATTGTACGATCTTTCTAAAGCGTTTGATGCTATAGAGAAACATGAAAAAGAACTCCTGATTGTGTGCTTCCATCGGTTAATGAAATTATGCCGATTAATCTTATGTGAATTGACATATCAGCTTTAAAATAGAAATGCAAAGTCATTGAATGGTTTGAGATCACACCATGAAATCTTACTTTGCTGAAGTTGATGCCAATTACTGATTATCAAAAGACTGGAGGTTGGAGGCAATTGCTTCATTGAATTTCAACTATGTACTTTTTTGCCTTATTTTCATTAGCAGAGAACTAAATATGCCAGCGTATTTGGGTTGGCTTTCCCGTAAATCATTGTAAGCAAGACACGTGTAAATCATAACACGCTTTGATTGGTTAAAAATAACGACATTAGAACGAGACTTCGTAGTAAACTTGTTACATTACAATGGAGACAAAAAAAATGAAAACCCATTGAAAATGTAATCTAATTTTGATTAGCTTTTGAAATGTCAGATATTTTTAGAAGTATAATACGTTTCAGTATAGAAATGATTTAATTCAGAAGTGGCCAATTAAGTTTCTCAATGATGGTATTGTGTACTGTTTATAAAATCAAGAGCCATGATTTTTGTATTGGAAATGAAACAGGTCACTGTTAAATATAGAACTGTTTACATTAAAGCTGTGGTAAATGTCGACTCCCGTGAAATTTCATTTGATTGATTACATTATCCTTTTTTAAAACTAAAATCATAAGTTAGAATTCTTTAATAGCAATTTTGATTGATTTGCTCCAATTTACATTTCACAGTTGCATAATGTACAACGCAAACATATTTAAAAATATTAAACGTATTTAATGGTTGGTATCGAAACATTTCTTGTTTTTGTCCCTTGACATAGATCCCCCCATTACCATTAAGAACCGGGTCAATATTTGGAATAGTCAGCCCTTTTATTCCTGGATCTTTGTCTTTTTCAGGTAGTAATATTACAAGTGATACGTCATCAGCTATGGAGAAAAGAACATTCAGTGTGGCCACCTTTCTGACGTTACCCATTCAGTTGCTAATCAGTCGGCTTCTGTGACAGGAAACGAACAAACTTAGAATAGATTCTTTTATGTGATAACATTTTTCTATCTCGCTGTGCTTTTTATTAAAATCGCCACATCTATTGGTCTGAATCTCTTCCGAGTAATTTGGGAGCCCATTTATTTTGAGAATTAACGGTAATTTAACACGTAGAAAAGACATCATTAGGACAAATGTCTCAGTGATGTTATTATTTTCAAAATGTTGGATCTCACGGCTTCCGGTGTAGTAACAGCAATTAAATATAATGTATGCGACTTCCGGAAGTTGACATTAAGGTGAACTCATATTATCAGATCGAAATCGAAAGTATGAAATTGTACGGTGGAGTCAAAAGGTCAATACTGTTTAAGCGACCAGCGCATATATTGGTTTTACTGATGTTATGGAACCTAGGTTTTAATACATGTAAATCAATCGAATACATCCCTACTTTTTAGTTCTTGCTTTGTTTACTTTACAATTTTTTATTAGACCGATGGAGAGTGTCCGTTCTCTTTCAATAAGGTGAATTTGACAAATCAAGACCGAAGCTCCGAATGAATATTTAATCCGTTAAATGAAAAATACCAGAAATCCGATGAAATCCCTCTAGAATTAAAATCCGATCAATTAAACATAGTTACTTCCGTGAACGTGGTGGCGCATTCTCACGCTAAGCTGTTTGTATAGTAATTGGATCTGCCAGGCTATAAATAGAATCAAGGAAGAAGACCTAATGCTGGGAATCTCATGTTGCTGATTTATATTGCTCACCATGGATTGGCTGCTGTAGACCTCCCAGAGGTTTGACTGCAATGTGATCCTCTTTTAATAGATCCCATTACTTACTCTAAAAGCATTAGTTTACTGAATTCCATTTAATTTTAATGGATGTAGCCTATATTAAGAGATCCATATCTCTTTTCAAAAGTGTTGATTGTGAACAAGAGTCTGACATATATGTATTGCTTGGAGCTGTTTTTGTCTGAAATAAGAGACAAAATGACACGACTGCAGATAAAAAAAATTGAAAATCACAGGATATGAAGGAAATGATTTTTACAATACTTCTCGTGTAGATGTTTGGTAGATAACAGGTTGATGATATCTCGCAAACTAGGTAGTTGTTGGTAGATGACAAGTTAACATTCACTTCCAGTAGATGCTGATATCGCAGACTAGGTAGTTGTTGGTAGATGACAAGTTAACGTTCGCTTCCAGTAGATGCTGATATCACAAACTATGTAGTTGTTGGTTGATGACAAGCTTCCAGTGGATGCTGATATCGCAAACTGGGTATTTGTTGTTAGATGACAAGTTAACATTCGCTTCCAGTAGATGCTGATATCACAAACTAGGTAGTTGTTGGTAGATGACAAGTTAACGTTCGCTTCCAGCGGATACTGATATTGCAAACTAGGTAGTTGTTGGTAGATGACAAGTTAACATTCGCTTCCAGTAGATGCTGATATCGCAAACTAGGTAGTTGTTGTAAGATGACGAGTTAACATTCGCTTCCATTAGATACTGATATTGCAAACTAGGTAGTTGTTGGTAGATGACAAGTTAACATTCGCTTCCAGTAGATGCTGATATCGCAAACTAGGTAGTTGTTGTAAGATGACAAGTTAACATTCGCTTCCAGTAGATGCTGATATCACAAACTGGGTATTTGTTGGTATATGACAAGCTAACGTTCGCTTCCATTAGATGCTGATATCGCAAACTACGTAGTTGTTGGTAGATGACATTGTTAACGTTCGCTTCCAGTGGATGCTGATATCACAAACCATGTTGTTGTTGGTTAATGACAAGCTTCCAGTGGATGCTGATATCGCAAACTGGGTATTTGTTGGTAGATGACGTTCGCTTCCATTAGATGCTGATATCGCAAACTACGTAGTTGTTGGTAGATGACATTGTTAACGTTCGCTTCCAGTGGATGCTGATATCACAAACCATGTTGTTGTTGGTTAATGACAAGCTTCCAGTGGATGCTGATATCGCAAACTGGGTATTTGTTGGTAGATGACGTTCGCTTCCATTAGATGCTGATATCGCAAACTACGTAGTTGTTGGTAGATGACATTGTTAACGTTCGCTTCCAGAGGATGCTGATATCGCAAACTAGGTAGTCGCCTTAGTAGTTGGTAGTTGGATTGCTTGAATTGGATGGGTCTGTGCTGTGGGTTTGGTAATTCGAGAATAGTAGATAACAGATATCCGAGACTAAAAAATATCATCGTATCACGTGGAGCTCGATCCCACGAACACGAGATTGAGAATCTCATGCTTTACCGACTGAGAAGAGCAAGGCTATATTTATACTTCTGCGGTTTTCAACTACCTAGGCGCCTGGTTCCCAACCTGGGGTGTTTTCACCCCCTGGAGGTGTGGGACTAGGGTGTCAGATGTGTGGCTCACTGTCAAATCCACGTGAGTCCAGAATTATTGAAAGTTCAAAAGACGAGTCGTCTTTTCTTGAGACACAGCCAAAAAAAGGAAGACGTCTATAGAAATAGGAAAAGAAATTGCTAGTTTGGGATTTGTTGCCCCTATTACGTTGATCATCTGTAGCATGCGATGCATAGGAATTGTGTCTATATCCATTGGTCTGGCCCGAAAAAAATCTAGTTTAAAAATTTCAAAATATATTTTCTCAGTTACTATAAAAATCCTTGTATGTTTCAACGAGTAATATATAAACAATTTTATCTAAGAAATTTTTATTGATTGATAGAAATCCAGAAAAAAAGGAAAAAAATTCTGCAGACGCTCTTCTTTGTGTGGTAATGGAGGTACATAAGTAGTTCAATCATACGTTCTGTAAAGAGTTGCTGCCCTTAGACCCTCATATGATAATTACTCGCTTTTATTTTTTAACATATGAAAGAATTCATTCAATACAGTCAAATCGTTACTCAAGAATCTAAGTCGGATTTAACTAGTAGTGGCGGCGTCAATCTACCGAGACTGAGGGTACAAATAGGGGACAGACTTACTCAACTGTCGAGGTTCAAAATCTGTTGTCCCCAAAGAACATTTTGAAAAGAACATTTGATTTTGTTCATTATGACACCTATTTTGGGAAACTAGGTATTATATCTTTTAAATGTGTTAGGAAACAAGTGGGATACGGGTCATTCTGGCGCCGTCATTTATACTTAGCAAGATTTAGGTATCCAATTTCTGTAAGTAGACACATCAACATATTTGTTCGATGTTTGAAGGGAGGTAACTCATGCTAAAATTTCAATGTTTTGGCAGTCTGTGTTAAGGGGGGTAACTCATGCTAAAATTTCAATGTTTTGGCAGAATGTGTTAAGGGAGGTAAATCATGCTAAAATTTCAATCTTTTGGCAGTCTGTGTTAAGGGAGGTAACTCATGCTAAAATTTCAATGTTTTGGCAGAATGGGGTAAGGGGGTAACTCATGCTAAAATTTCAATGTTTTGGCAGAATATGGAAAGGGAAGTAGTCCTGCTGTAATTTCAATGTTTTGGGAAAGTGTGTCAAGGGTGGTAACTCATGTCACAATTTCATAGTATTTTTTAGATGAGTTAACTTTATCAGATACTACGACGGCCGACCTCTTGCATTAATGGACTGATTAATGGACTAATATCTGCTGTTTCAAATTTGGCAACGCCAAGAATTACGCTTCGGATTCAAGATATAATCTCAAAGATTTGGTTGATGCTCGCGAGAATGGATCTTGATGCGAAAAAATAAAATCAACAAGTTTTCAGTACTCTCTATCACAATATTTAACAGGAAATGAAAATATAAATAAGAACATCTACACAAATATAAATAGAACATTGTTTTGAGCAATAACAAAATATTTTCAATGTTAAAATAATGTTCAATACATCAATAGTTAGAGCGATAAAGAAATAATAAAACATAAATTATATTATTATTTCTATTTTAACATTAGCAATAAAAAAAAAGACTTTAGGAAAATATATACTATTTAATCAAGAATTTTTCTTTTTAACCAATTTCTCTAGAAAGATTTCTGAAATGTCTTAATGAGCGATTCAATCAAGACACAACGTGTGATCGTTTCTTCATAAATTGTCCGGGTGTTATCCAATGAATACCATATTCTGACAACTTTGTCCTTTATATAATGTTCGGGTCAATATAGAAATCATGCTCAATGAATATATTAAAATAAGTCGCTGGTGATATAACTCTTTTACCTAACAGAGCATGTGATTGGTTGAATTAATGAACATATCTTCGTAAAAACGTAATCAGATTATGTTACAAGTGAAGTAACCCACAGAAAATATACTATAGAGACATCTGTACCATTGTAGGTCTGTATATTCCCTTCCATAAAATATGAGACCGCCCATAAAAATCAAATGAACACCCGCAAACAATGAGTGAATGGAATTTATAAATTGAGACCCATAGCCTCTAAGTAAGCCTTATTGACTTTTCTGTTGAATTTCATCTGGCTTTCCATCATATCTCCAGACATTATGATTTGAGGTCGCTGGTTGCCAATTCGGTTCATTCCAATGTTATTGACTCCTAAACCGTTTCCAGCAAGAGCAACATTAGTTAAACCGTTTCCTCCCAGGTTTCTGACGCCCAATTGGTTCATTCCGGACACGCCAGTTACTATTTGATTCGATCCTAATCTGTTGACTCCAATCTGGTTCCCGAATCCCAAACCATTGACTCCTAAACCTGTGACACCTACTTGATTGACTCCTAAACCATTGACTCCAACCTGGGCGAGTCCAAGTCTGTTACCGCCGATTTGGTTGACTCCTAAACCGTTTACTCCAACCTGGGCGAGTCCAAGTCTGTTACCACCAAGTTGGTTGACCCCTAAACCATTGACTCCAACTTGGGCGAGTCCAAGTCTGTTACCACCGAGTTGGTTGACACCTAAACCGTTGACTCCAATCTGGGCGAGTCCAAGTCTGTTACCGCCGAGTTGGCTGACTCCTAATCCGTTGACTCCTACTTGGGAAAGTCCAATTCTGTTACCGCCATTTAGACGGATTTGGTTCAAACCCAAACCGTTGACACCTAATGTGTTTACACCTATGTTGTTCAGTCGGTTATTACCTAGCCGACTAGACAGTAAGTTTGTCCTCCTAACGAGGGGTCTGTTAAAAAGGCTGCTTGCTTGATTTGCTGAAAATATAAATAGGGGTTATAAAGAGGTTTTCTATTTCACACCTGGTGTCAATGGAATTACTACAGAGCCACAGACGTCAGATTGAAAATTGGAATGGTGCAAATTGAGACTATCAGTGTCCCCAATACACATACAAAATTTAGAAAACCTTTTACCAGTCTCGTAAATAAGACTCAACTTTCGTTTCGTTTTGTCTTAATTAGTTTTTATTTTTAGTATAGCCACGTCAGGGTAGGGTCTAATGACTGGACTCTTGAACATTGGTCAAAATAACCTTTTGACCTAACCTGCTTTAACCAATCAAATTTACGATCCAGCGTTGGCGATTGTAGGAATTTGAATGGTTAAAGCAGTTCAAAAGGTTTTTTTGACGAATGTTCGTTCCTATTCCCTACTCGGATGTGATTATACTTAATATTAAAACTATTAGCCCAGCTAACTTGACGAGAATTCATAAACTCTAGACATCATCGGCTATCTGTATCTCTTTTCAGAATTAAAAAATCCCGCTTATAAAATAAACAATAGTTTTACCAACTGATAGAGCTTAACCTCAGCTATCCGTTATCCTTTTCAGAATTAAAATCGTACTTATTTTTGTTTTACAAAATGATAAAGCTTATTCCCGGCCACCCGTATCACTTTTGAAAATGGAACTCGGGCGTCTTGTTCGTCATGTGAAACATAAGTTTAAAACTAAAATAAACGTACAAAATTAAATGAACTTACTCAAGATAAGCTGAGCTGATCCCAAACTACAAGTAAACAACAGAAAGGCAGTATTGATGATCGTGTTCATGATGGCTCGTTACGATTTGAATTGGTCATTTGATTGTATTCTTTATATACAGTGATAAACCCTGTAAATACATCAAAACTCGCTGTCTCAATGTATACTTTGACATGTTAACACGGTGAAGGTGGACAAGTCGTGTCAATAGATGACGAATGCAAGTTTCGGACATAATAAAGTAAGAATGCTATGTAGATTTATATGTTTGACATGACAGGTTCAACGATAACGTATTTCAGTTGCATAATTCGCTAAGTACAATCATGTATTTGCGTCGTTTGAACAATGTAAATCTCATTTTGATCAACAAAATAGCAACAATGGGTTTTTTTTGGATAATAAAACTATGCGAAAACCACGTAATCCCTTCAAATATGTCTTGTCGATTGGGTCTATAACAGTGACTACCATTTGTGTTAAAATAGTCTTAAAACAGAAACTGTTATAGTCCAAAAGAAGAACGTATTAATTCATTCGTCAGTGAGTAATCTCGAAAAGTAGAACCACCTGAATCTGCTGTACACTGTACAGCGTTGTCCGTCTGGGAGCCTTTTCTTAAATTCAAGCGAATGTTTTATTAAACGCAGTACAGATGAACTACTGTAAAGTTAAAGGGACAGGTGGGCCAGTTTTTGACCAATCATACTGTAGTCTCAGACACTAGAAATGTTTAGCTGAGGAAATCAGTCGAAATTTTAACCTTCAAACCCATGTGTGTCCAGAATTCTCCGCGATTGAATGTTAAAATTACGACTCGTCAATTAATGAGACTCTTTGATATATAGAAAAGACATATATAGAAATAGTGAATAAAATTCCTAGTTTGAAGTATTTTTAAAGGGATCTTTAACGTGCTGCACAGCCTGTAGCACACGGAGCCTCGGTTTATTGTCCCATCCTAACGACTAGACGCTTTTTCCATGTCAACCCCTCTTACCTGCATCACTGACAGGGGAGAAACCGGGTTCAAAAATCCGAAGGTAGATATTTCTTTTTTGTGGAATTACAGGAACCACAGAGGTCTGATTAAAAATTGGAATGATGCAAATTGATGTGTCCCCGACACAATTACAAAGCTTAGAAAAACCTCTTTAAAATCCCTTTAATATAGGAGGGATTCAAAATATCCCATCACATATCTTCACAATGGTCAAGTTAATAGGATGGTGTCTTATACCCTGACTACACTAACCATGTTCTTCTATCGCGGAATGTGACGATTTGATTGGATTATACGCCAGCTAATACAGCCAATCAGAGCCATCAACAGAAAAAAGCAAACGTTATGGCTTATTATTTATTGACGTTCTGTCGATGGCACTAATTCGCTGTATTCACTAGAGTACAATCCAATCAAATTGCTGCATTTACAAACCTTCGTGAAACCAGAAAGGTGGATTTGTAGTCAAGCTATAAGACGAAGTTGGACCGTTGTGTATATTATTCCACTATAAGCCAAATTAAGATTAAAGTGGCGGTACGCACAGATTTATTTGGTTTAAAAGGGAATATACCTAAGAGACTAAAAACAAAGTTTAAAGTGAATTAGTATCTAAAAAAACATGATTGAGAATGGGGGGGGGGGGGGGGAAGTTACCGCAAATTTTTATTCGAAATGATTCTTGGGATGACACCTTCCCTTCAATGACAAGTTATGTTTATCCAAATAGAATTTTAAATCCTATTGTAGACTTCTCGCATAAAAAGGTTAATTGTGACGAACAGTATAAGTCATGCAAGTATATTTCGTCGTGTGTATACACTGCCACACATTCCTGCGATGTTGGACTGCTTGGTTCGTCTGTACTCCAACAACTCTTGATTTCCTCTCCCGTACTCCATATGAAGTGTGTACCGTTAGAACTACCACCAACATAAATTCTATCTGAAAAACAAATCAGGAGGACATCAGTGGCATTTCTATCAATAACTGTGTTGTGATGCGGAAGAGAGAGAGAGAGAGAGAGAGAGAGAGAGAGAGAGAGAGAGAGAGGTGGGGGAGGGTGTGCGGTGGGCCCCACAAAATGGTCAAGTGAGTTTACAGGCAAAATACAAAAATCGTTCGTAGGTAAGTAAGTGGCTTTGAACTTACTTGTTCGTCGTTAAAACTACTTACGTGCAAAATGTTGAGTTGGTAAGTAAGCGGCTATTTTGCACTTTGCATCAGTATCTAGAGTAATCAGTCGTGCACCATCAGAGATACATGCTTGGTGTGCTCCTGACCAGATTATCTTGTCCCTGTAGAATTTCATGCAAAATTCCAGATGCGGATAGATGAGATCATAACCGCTATTAAAACAGTCAGCATAATCTAAAATATAAATGAAAAATGATACAATTACAAAGGAAAATTCAAATTCAATTTTATGAACTCAAGTTATACACATTAAAAAATTTTGCACGAAAGCATGAAGTAAATACATGGCAAGTAAAGTTTACACGAACACATATAATAAAATACATTACTAGTACACTTTACACGAACACATATAATAAAATATATTACTAGAACACTTTACACGAACACATATAATAAAATACATTACTAGATCACTTTACACGAACACATATAATAAAATACATTACTAGATCACTTTACACGAACACATATAATAAAATACATTACAAGATCACTTTACACGAACACATATAATAAAATACATTACTAGAACACTTTACACGAACACATATAATAAAATACATTACTAGATCACTTTACACGAACACATATAATAAAATACATTACTAGAACACTTTACACGAACACATATAATAAAATACATTACAAGTACAGTTTACACGAACACATATAATAAAATACATTACAAGTACAGTTTACACGAACACATATAATAAAATACATTACAAGTACAGTTTACACGAACACATATAATAAAATACATTACAAGTACAGTTTACACGAACACATATAATAAAATACATTACAAGTACAGTTTACACGAACACATATAATAAAATACATTACAAGTACAGTTTACACGAACACATTATAATAAAATACATTACAAGTACAGTTTACACGAACACATATAATAAAATACATTACAAGTACAGTTTACACGAACACATATAATAAAATACATTACAAGTACAGTTTACACGAACACATATAATAAAATACATTACAAGTACAGTTTACACGAACACATATAATAAAATGCAAAAACATCCTATGAATCAAATACATTTATATCTTAAGAAAAAACACAATTTTCTTACCTGTGTATTTCAGAAACACAAATGATACCTTGACGTTTCCAACTGAGGCAGAATTGTGGATTAAACAAAAACAATTCTTCGCATTGTATGAAACCACCAAATTGTCATGTCTACGAGCACAAAAGACCACACAGCTAACAAGGTCGCTTTGTACGGCAGTTTCAGTATAAGGCATTTCAAATGGTTGAGGGTAGTTAACTCTTTGCCAAAATTGACATTGTATGGTCACGCAGAATATAGCAAATGTAATTGCAAAGCGTGTTAACATCTTGAATTTTTGTTACGCTAATGATTCGCATTAACTGAGATATTCCCTTTTAATACAGCGTTGCTCTTTTCCACTTCATTTTTAATTGAAAACAAACACCCTTTATCTGTCATTTATCTGTTTTTATTATAGGTAAAAGGCAAAAAAACTTAACCAAAGAATATTGACTATACACATTTCATAGGGGAATTTGTTAAACAAATAAGCCATATTATTTGTAATTCTTACGTATCGTGGCAACTAATAGCCAATCGTCAACTGAATCGAAATTTCAACAAATAATTACGTTAACCAATTATAATAATTACCAATGTACTTAAAAATACATAATTTATCTACATCCGACCACATGGAACTCAATCAACTTGATGTAGGGTTGTATTAAATGGGCTGCCTGTGGAGTAATAGCTTTCAATGGTCTTTCCTTATCTGTTGTATCGTGTTTTCTATGATATACAAATGTATCAACTTTATCAAAGGTAGCTCTTTAGTGGTGAAGTCAAATTAAGTCTTGTATGTGTAGTTACAATTGCTATCCATTCATTCCACCCAAAATCAGAGTAGACTATTCATGTTTCATTTCTGAATTCTATCCAATGTCGGGTATCGAAACTATATCAGAATTAATTGTAGTCTGTAACCTAATTGAGATAATAGATTAACTTCCCTGTTAACAGTCAATCACATTCTTATTTTAAATCCAAGTCCGCCATTCTTTCCACCTAAAACTTCTCTAAGGTACGACAGGAGCTCTTTTCATGGGACATTGATTGGGCGAAATCAAATCCCATGATGCAATAGTCTCGCACTGGTCTACACTAAATACACCAAGTCTCACTTAATCACGTGGATGTATTCTATATATTTTGTTTGTGTGGCTATAAGTGAATACAACAAGGTTGCGCTCGATGGACGGAACTAGATTATGCCACATTCAAAAATTGTCCTATTTCTTTCTCTGCCATTTGGAATTCTGTCTTCTGTCCTACTAATTTTTGGGCACACGTGGAATGCGTTCTTAAATCTGTTCCAAATTGTTCGAATTCATTCTATGAATCCCGAACCTTTAGAACTCTTCAATCGAGCGACTCCAGGGTGCAGTAAATGCTATATTAGATAAAGCTTGAACACCAAAGCAAACAATCACAGCTTACGAAAACTGGAAAGTCAAATACAATTTGTTTTGAAAAGAATCGAATGCAACGCTAATGCACTATGACTGGTCAAAGGCCAAAACAATAAATCTAAGCGATTTCATTTCATACGATAATTAACGGCCTTTGCATCAAGTCACCAAGTTGGCTTTAAATGTTTTTAGTGGATATTGTTAGCTTGTCAGCTCTATTGGTAAATAATGAAGACGAAGCATTTTTACTGTTTGCACAGCAAAAAATATCAAACGTTAACTAGAATATCGCGAAAACTGATCCAAATATCTTGGGACATTTTAGAATTGGCTCTTTTATTGATAGTCCGAGAGTGAAAAAAAACTGAACTGAAAGGTAATGGAATTTTATATACATTACCACCATGCGAATTCCAATGAGGATAATTTTGCAGAACAGCTGGGTTATGTCGATAAGACGGTGGCTCAGGGTTCTGATCTCGGTCGGCGAATGAAATTCTATTGAGCTTGAACATGTTGTCTTTCCTCATTTTATCAGTCGACTAACTGGAATGAGAATGATTAATCCAGGACAGATCGATGTCAAGAGGTTTCTTTAAGGATCAGGCGGTGGACACATTCTTGTTATACGCTCACACGGCCCTTCACAATTAGTGAAACACTTAGTTTAATTGGAATTGCAGGAACCACAGACGTCTGATTGACAATTGGAATGGTGAAAATTGATGCTATCATTGTCCCCGATACACATATTTTTTTTTATAAATCCCTTTTACAGTCCCTTTCCGGGTCTTTTAAAGCAATCAGGAACAAGGAACTGCGTGAAATTCCATTTTAATTCAATTCATTTTTCGGACTGTTAATTCGTTAATCGAGAAAATTGCTGAATTAGAAATTAACGAGGCATGGAATTATCAAGGGAGATAACCTAGAATCTTGTTTCATCTAGATTGGAAATTCTGTTTAAATTAATGCAATCAATTGTGTGTAAATAACTAATTGTTTAACATTTAGTTTTACATTAGACATACCCTGATTATAATGGCTACGGTTATTTGAAAAGAGGGGGAGTCGCAGAATTTTAGAGCGTTTGGGATTTCGACGACTGTTAGCAACTTGTGGCCACTCTTAGAACGTTATCGAACGCTGTCACGATGTGAAGCAATAGCGAATTGCGTCTAATATTACAGGCCACCTTTCCGGAAGTAAATAAATGCAGAGATTTGATTGAACTGTTCGCTAGCGAATACAGCCATTCCAAGCCCACGATTACATACGAAGCCACTAAGGGCACTATCAACTCAAAATGTCGTCAATTGCTTTGATCACTTTCATTTCAAAATGTGGAACTTGTCGTTCACCCGAACGGTCAGACTTGCAGTTGCTGGTAGTCGCTCAAATATATCGACTTCGACGATCCGATGGGAATCAATTCAATCGTCTTTCTCTCTGTTCCTTTTCGCTTCAGCGGTAATTTAATGGGCTTAGTAATTAAAGTAAAACAGTTTTCTTTTTTTGTTGTAAACATTAAGGAAAAAGGAAGCAAGTCCGACCATTTTACAAGAGACACATCAGTGGACACGTTATTTCTTGACGAGGAAGTCGAACTTGATTGGAAGAAAGAAAGAAAGAAAGAAAGAAGAAAGAACTTTAATTTACAAGGGTAACAAAACTTCTTGGCCAAACCTCTTGACATTGATCTTTCATGGATTAACCGTTTCCATTTACAGCTGGGTCGATTATAATTTTGCGTGAAGACTTCCTTATTCAAGGCATCGAACTTTCACACACCGATCGCGATTAGAATCCACAACCACCATTTGTTTGACCCAACACTCTAACCAACTATGCTATACAACGAGAGGGTCACGATATTTTGACAAGTCGAAATTATTGTCTACAAAGTTTTAAAATGCTGCTTTTGAGAGCACGAACTGGTGTGTCCTTTCCACCACAGTGACCGACATATAAGACATTTTCTAGAATCAACGACCCGGTTATCCAGCGGAAGTCATTATACATTTCTGGAAAGCAAGAACTAATCTCAACCTTATCCCTCTTTTAGTTTTATTGTTTCAATGGATACAATGATACCGACAAACTAGTTTAGTCTACAGTATACTATGAACTCACGTAAGACAAGGACTTATGTCGCCGTAAACTACTTCCGGTTGCGTGACGATTTGATGTATCTTTTATCTTACATATTTAGGCTAATGTCATTCCGATTAAGATAAGATATTCCAAGTATATTCCTACTTTGCTATATCTACAATGTAGTACAAAGAAGCGTCGAGTCGACGAACATTGGGGGAGGGGAGATGAGGGGTGCCTAAGACCTAAGACCGAACCCCCTCTCCCTTTACATTCATTACAGTAGTCGTCGACTTCATTTATATATACACATGTATTATAAAGTTTAGAAAAATGATCCGAACTGTGTTATTTAAGTAAAAGTGCAATTAACTTACCGATATACCGGATCGAATATTTCAACTGGTGAACAAAAAAAAAATAACTTATTTCATTACCGTTCTTGAGTTTCCAAATGTTTTCAGACAAGTTAAATAATTTGCTGTCAATTTGAACATAAAGATCATTATTAAAGTTTGGTTAAACATGCGTTTCAAATGAATGATTATAAACAGTCCTCGCTCCAATCGGTTCATCAGCTAAATTAAAAACGTCTAGAAACATAGTCAGGCGGAATTGGTCGTAATGGGAGCTAATGAACATTTATTTAGGTTGTCGGAGAACTGTTCCGTCGTTCTACCAACGAGTGCTTCCGTACCACTATAGAATTTTATAACGTTTTGACAAATTGGAATAAAAACTGAAAGCGCCGTCGCCATCACACACAAAAAAATTGAAAATCCAATGGAGTTTAACGTCCTAATCTTGGGTTAATGAAGGGTCACGGTATGCTGTGAGCATTTAATTAAATTTAACCAGGACAACGACAATTGATAACTGTTAAGAGATAATTATATACAACAGAAAGCACACCGAAAGGACCATGGTTGATTGTCCCATCCGAACGCTTTTCCTTGCCAACCCTTCCGATCTGCCTTTGCGATCAAACGGCAACTCTTTTCAAACTAAACGTGGACATCGTGCAGCACACGGACCGTAGTTGAGTTCGCCCTAACGACTCGATACTTTTTCCATGTCAGCTCTGTGACCTATACTTGAAAACGAAGATTACGATGAATGTCATTCTGAATGAAATATAGAGTCTGACCTTGTATTATTTTCTTCTTTTTTTAATTTTTATCACGAAGCCGAACTATGGACAACCATTTATTCATTCATTCATCCATTTATCACTCACTCACTTACTCACTCACTCACTTGAAATATTCGTTCATTGACTTTAAACATTACCACAAAAAAGTTACAGTGACGGAGTAGTGTTCAACAGTTCTTCTCAAATTGATTAAAAGCAAAACATTGGGGTCGCAATATATGACCGATATTTTGGAATGCAATCAACTTTCGATTACCCTTGCCAGACATTTATCTAGAACAAGATGGATGGACCCAATCTTAACTTCTCCCAAATTTTCATGATAAATTTGGGTTAATTCTCTCATTTGACAAGCTTGATGTATTACGGTAGATGATGAAACTTACCACTAATATTCAAAGGTAAATAAAAACGATATTGAAGTATTACTGGATGTATATGGATACATCTTCACATTGTCAAGCTATTACGAACTTCATCTTATACCTTGACTGCAATGTCCACTTTTATTGGTTTGTACGTTAGCGAATACAG